CTTACTTACCTGATAAAAAATAACAATATAATTGCAGTAATATAAACTATAATAAATATCCTTCGAAATAATACATCGTTTGCCAACACTCTGCTCATCATCTTATCGTTTTTCGTATAYCTATAGGTACCTAATATAATAAAATGTATCATTATTTTGTGATAGTTTTTAATTGAATTTAAATTCAAATATTTAATACATCCATTACTCAAAATGTATAATTATAACCTACTAATCAGAACAACTTTTCGGGTTTTTATAAATTAAATTATAAATTAATAGATACAGATGACTAAAATAAAAATATATTATTGTAAGCATGTTATCGGTTAATATTGTACAATATAGAATTTGTATATATTAGGTATATATTATTATATATTACTTATTGATATCTAGTGTCTGCATTAAAAAAAAAATAAAATTCCTCTTACTGTTGAGCATATTTGCCGTAACATAATTAAAATAAATACAGAACTATTAATTGGCCAATGRATATGTATAGTATGTACCATTATAGTATACCAGCAGTTCCCAAACTGTGCACTGCGGTGTATTAGGGGGCACCACGAGTGGCACGAGCACGTTCTAAGTGCACCGCTGTCTACGGCTCATAATAAATAATTTAAAACGTATAGAATTTTTTTCTCAAAATTTCGTTATTAATGAGTATTGRGTTTTTTTTTCTATCTTTTATGGTATCATTTTATGTGTCATGCACATTAGGGCACCGTGGCTATATTTGGTCCAAAAAAAGGCACCACGGGTCCACGGAAAAATTGGGAAACCGCTGATATATATAATTGCGTACTGGCACAGTGGCACGTTTGTCCCTTTTAATAAGTAGCATGATTTCGTACGAAAATGAGTGYAACGTTGCCAGCATGTACTATTCGGTATTTAGTATTTACTATAGTGTTATGTGGCCGTAACTTAAAACCATTTAATTATACCATGTGCAATGTTAGGTATAATGTATATTAATAGAATTAATAACTATAATAATATTATAATAATGTTACCTACACAATATTTTTTTATAGATATTCAGGTTTCAATTTTCAAATAAACGTAGTGAATTATTTGTTAAAACATTTATAATGTTTTGAAAACAAAAACAAATTACCAAAATTTTGAAAAAAATAAAAAGCAAATATTTTAATGAAAAGTTGTATTAAGTTTGGTTGATTCCAACTCAACAGTGATAGACTGATAGCCGATAGGATATTTTTATAAACATAATAATCTTTATATAATAATATATTATATACATAATAATCTATATAATTATAGGATCGAGTAGTAACACTCTCTCGTTATAGGATAATGATTGCACATTTACGATAATTCAAAATTTCAAAATATGCCCGCAGTATCTAGGATCTTTCCTTTAACRGTTACACCAGCATGCGTTGGCACTTATCTATGTTTTATAAACGCATCATAATAGATAATCAAGTATCAATTTAATTTTGTTATATTCATTTTATAGTGAATAAATGGATATTGATTTATTATAAAAATTAGAAGTAACTAGGTAGTAAGTATAAAGTATTTATGTTATAGTGAATCTCCTAGTTTTTTTTTTTATATTTTAAGTTTAGAGTGAGTATGATCATTTAAAAATTGTAAAATGTTGGTACACTTTAAAATGCTCATACCTTGCTTTAAAACTAAAAGAAATATTAATAAAAAAAACTATGAGATTCACTTAATACTATTCTTACTTCTAAATTTGATAATAGCCAATAGGTCTATTCGCCCCATAGATATATACAACAACTAGATAGCCGTCTTTTTGTACTACAGTAGTGGCCGATATTGAAGTCGGCCGCCATTTACAAAG